AAACAACCATGAAATGTCTGTAAGTGCTCCGTACAGTAAATATATGTATTGGTATCATCAGGTGAGATGCACAAAAGGCCAACTTCTCTGGAGCTTGAAGGATGGAGACCCAGGGAAGCCTCTTTTCCCCCCAGACACATGGGCAGATTGTCAGGAAGTAGGGCCCCTTGGGGAGCACACGCTGGCTAAGTGCACGTGACAGAGGGATTCAGAAGAGGCCAAGGTGGATGCACAGGTACTTCCCCAGGTGTGTTCAGTCTGGGTACAGGTAGAGGGAGGAAAGTGCCCGGCACATTGTGCCCACGGGCACACTCTAGCACTGCACTCCAGTGCCAAGGTCAAGGAGCCTCTGACAGCCTTTTGGAAATGTATTTCCTTCTAGAAAACAGGCTCCCCTCACTCCTGCTTATGATTTTGGATTCCATCTTTTTATTTGCTGCTAAACTAGCATGCCAGGGAGCATCTTTGGTAAGTGGGGCACTTGGTATAAAGGCCGGCCAGACCCGGCTGACCTCGGTGGGAGGGGGTTGCCCAGAGCCAGGCAGGGAAGCAGATACAGACATAGGCTTTCAGATCAGTGTCACTTTATTAGCATAGTGATGGCAGGGGGACAGGTGGGATCTTTAGTTGTTGGCAGCCATGGTCTCCTGAATCCAGTCCACGAAGTTGCAGACCCTGGTGTAGACACCAGGCTTGTTCTTCTGGGCACAGCCATAGCCCCAGGAGACAACTCCCTGAAGCTCTCCGTTGCAGACCACAGGGCCACCAGAATCACCCTGGGGAGGAGGAAGGCACAACACATTTTATAAGGAGGGAGAAAGAGGGGAGCACAGCTTATGGCCTTGGGGATTCAAATCCAGCCTCTAGGCAGGCCATGTGGATGGGCAGGGGTCTCAGATTGAGAAAGGACAATCACCTGGCAGGAATCCTTGCCACCCTCGAGGAAGCCGGCGCACACCATGTTGTCGGTGATCTGTCCGGGGTATGCGGCTTCACACTGCTCCTGGGCCAGCAATGGGGCATCCAGGCACTGCAGCAGCTCAGGGTAGTTGACTTTGAGGAACAGGAAGAGATAAAGGAAAGGAGAAATGAGAGTCAGGCCAGGATGGAGGATGGTAATCTGGGACTGTCCCCAAGAACCTAAGTCCCAGCAAGAATCAAGGCGATTCAGTTCCCAGAATGGTCACTGCTGAGCCCCTCCCTGGAGGTGAGAATGGCAAGTGCTATGCTTGTCCTATTCTGGGTCAACTCCTTGAGACTCTGCATCTCTCTGGCCTCCAGGACGGAGCCTGAGGGTGGTGGACACTTGACATTATTTGCAGACTGGATGCCGAGGGGGCTGAGCTCAGGCGATGCTCCATTCTGGGAAACATTTGCAAGTCAGAGAGTGAAGAAGTGAGGACCCCACTCACTGCCAGAGCTCAGGGTGTTGCCCCAGCCGGAGATGAGACACTGGGTGCCAGCAGGCGCACAAGAGGTGGGCAGGGCAATGGTGGACACCCAGGAATTGATGACCGCAGGTGAGGACAGCTTGATCAGCATGATGTCATTTTCCCCGGTCATGCTGTTGAAGCGGGGGTGGCGGATGACCTTGGCAGAGTTGATGAA